ATTAGCTGCGTGATTGGCTGCCGTAGTAAAGCATGCACCGGCATTACGTCGATTCACGATGCCCTCAACACTCTGGAATTGACGCCCCCGCAGCCGGACTGCGTCATGCGAGAGTAAAAACTCTTTCAATCTAATCTCCTATCACTCTGTGCAGAATACTGTGTGAGCTCCTGGGCAAAGCGGAAATTAATTGTTCCTCTGCTAGATAGGCAAAGCACATATATCCATCAAAATATCCAATTCCTAACACTCTAGCCTCCACCGACTTCTTCTCTCCTAGGGAACCAGAGCCTGGAAGATCGCAGTTGCCAGGTTTTAACTTACTTAACCCCCTGCGATAGTTCTGTCCGCAGGGGAGAAGGCCCTAGCGTAAGCAACTGCTCGTCGTGACACAGGACTGATGTCGATGCCTCGCACTCATTCCTTAGCAAACTTTATTGGAAACCGTTTGGAACGAATGATAATTATGTTATGAAGTAAAGTCAAAATGTTTTGTTAAAAGTGAAGTGGTGGATCACAAGCATAGTGGATTTGCACCTCAATTACATAAGGCACAGTCGTCAGGTGAGCAAAAGTCTACATTAATTAGGAGTCTTAGTGATTGTCGCTGGATGTCGCAGTTGATGGGAGGGTTGGTGGTCTGTATATAGATCAGTTGAAAATGGCTGTGAGTTCGTGACCGGTGGTGATTCTGAGCCTGACCACCGGAGCTATGTAGATATTTTGCTCATGTAAAATCACAGCAACGCACGTGGAGGTCGGGAGCCATTACGGGCCAGAGAATAGTGGCTCACTAGCGCCACCTGGGAATCCGTGATTAGCCACACGTGAATGTCCACCAAACGTTGACCCGTCGTGCCTTCGCCTGCGGTGCCCTGCGTGCCCAGGCTGTTGCCCTTCTGTCGGCTCAATGCCTCGAGTCTCAGCCCATAGCCTCACGAGGGCTAGCCAATCATCGTGCCCCATTTCCTGATTGGCTGCAGGAAAAAATCTTGCCCCGAGTTTCCTCGAATTCCGCGCGCGCGCTCACTTCACTTCAGACGCGGCCCTCAGGACGGCGGTTGCTCGCTCGTCTTCTGTACAGAATAAAGTATTCTTTCTTATCTGGCCTCCTACGATTTGCTATTACCACAAATAACCAGACCTGCAGATCACGGTTGGGCAAAAGCAGCCCAGCATTTTGTC